CAACTGCTCTCTTGAGCTTCGTCTTGTTCCTAATCATCGGTAAGAAGAATCCCGGCTCTTTTGATACAGCATACTTCCCTCTCTTCCCATCCAAATACTTCAACAACAGAACTACACTATCCTGCAAGAATTCAGGAAATGTAGTTTCCAATGTCTTCACGTCTTCACCCGAAGCCTTTTTCCCTTCTTCGGGTTTCACCTCTTCCACCGGAGATGTCGGCAGTGTAATGATCTCGGCCTCTACCACCGTCCCTCCAATCAATGCGACAACCTGCTCCAGAATCTCCTCGCTCAAAGTGGACTCCTTCTCCAGGTCCTCGTTCATCTTCAGTTCTGGTGTCTCTTCACCCCGCGCAGACCGTGTCTGCTCCGAAGACAGAGAAATCAGACTTATCAACCCGAGCCTCCTTCAAAGGTTCTGCCGGTATGTCTGCTGGAACTTCGATTGACACCTCCGAAGGTCCTCTTATCTCCACAGGCCGCGTCACCTCGCTAGCTGCGATTTTGGTTGTGTTCACAATTGATGCCACTGTCTTCTCCACGCTCTTGTCCGATACTTCAGCTGTCACCATCCTCCGATTCGCTCTCTTCTTTGGTCTTGCGCGTGCTCTTTGCTGCCTCGCTCCATCTACATTCATGTCCACCCTTCTTACCTCGTGGGCCAATTCTTCCTCGTCATCACTCATGACCTTCCATCTCTTCGCCAATCATCTCTTTGGCTTCTCCCGTCTCTACACCACGTCCACCTGAACTAGTCCTCGGGCTGTCGTATGTGTTGGGATCGAGGGGGGTCGGTTCTCGTCTTCGGTCCCTTCACTGGACTCTGTTGTCAAGATTTCCCGCTCTCTCGGAAATCACTTCTCCTCCTCCCTCGTAAGCAATCCCATTCCTCGATAGAAATTCATCACAAAGGGAGTGATGTGATTGGTCAAAGGTGCCGTCCACCGAAAGCCCGCATTCACCCAGACAAGATCGTAAAAGATCCTTGCCCAATGTACTCGCTGTCCCTTCAGGATGCATTCGAAGAACCCTACTTGCTATGCCGTCACATAAGTCGTGCGCGCCGGCCGCAAGATGTGCATGATTCCCAACGCGATCGTTCTTCTCTTCGGATCTTTATAATCGACAGTCTTCCATCCGTTAGTCCCCTGTCTTCCAGACTCGAAGAGAGGCCCGTAAGAGAATTCCTCGCCGCGTGTAAGTCCTACGCTTTTCTTCTCAAATAGAAGATCTCCGTCGCTGCCCGCACACGGTCCCATTACCTTCGTCCAATGCTCGATGGTCTACAGCATGGGATTACCGCGGAGCTCCTCGCCTTCGATCGTGCTCTTGTCCATTACCTTCTTGCAGATACTCGCCGAGACGCAATTCCAATTCCACAAAAGGAATTCAAGCCGCAATTCACTCAGCTTACGCCTGAAGGGTCGCAATTCCTCATAAGGCACCTTCAAGGGAACCAATTTCCTCACCTTCTCACTCTTCTTGGGCGCCATGTCTTCAATTTGCGTTTCGCTACTCGCGAGTTGGATCGATTTCGCTTCCTCTCTCTCTCGCTCGTTCTTGCTCGATGTCGCAACGTCGGCGCGAAGACTCCTCGTATTGCCTTTACCTTCAAAGCCCTAACATTGCCTCCTCCCGCGCCCAGTAGAACTCCCGACGCGTGCGAACGTCGTCCGGCCCGTTGCGTGATTTGAAATTGATTCCGATGTCTTTGCCGAAGACGTAGCTCTTCGTACGTCCATAAAAGGCTGCGTCGAAGACACAAAGATCCGAAGATCATTCTACGTAGACAAATTCTAACTAATACTATCATTTTCTCCTTAGCTCATTCTAACTCTTACAACTACTTTCTAGACAAATATCTTTTAGTTTTGTTGATTTTTTAAGAAAAATGTAAAAACTAGGCACCACAAGGAGCATGTTCAAGAAAGCCCAGCATGCATTCAAGAGAAATTGATCAAACGACCTTTGATTTCAAATCTACCGGAGAAGATGCCCGCACCATTGCAACGTCTTCAAGGTGATTGATGTGGTCCGATCAGTCCAACATCAGGTTAGTTCAAATATTTTTTTTATCCTCGTTGATGCATCCGGACATCATGATGAGATTTCTCTTCTTACCACTAAAAACATGGTGTTTTCCAAGACTTTAGAGATGCTATTAACATTTAGAAACCATTACCCTAACCACCTAGTTTGATTTCTTAGAATGTACAACGCCCTTGAATTTAAATCTCTGGAATTTGAGGACTATTGCGCAGCGACATGGATAGAACTTACTTATTCCGCTCTTTACGACCATAGTTAGAATGGTCTAGCCAAAGCTTTTATCAAGAAAATTCAGCTCATAGTTTGACCCCTCCTTTTTCATGCTAAACTCCCACCTTCTTATTGGAGTCATGATGTATTTCACCCTTTAATTTTTAAAGTCTTAAACCAACCTTATTCCATACTCAGACTCCTCTAGAATTAGCATTCGGATGAGTCCCACATATGGCACACCTCCAAATCTTTGGTTGTGAGGTTTGGATAACTGTTGCAGATCCTAAGATAAAATCCATGGAACCTCATAGAATCAAAGGTATATATCTTGGATTTGACTCCCCGGTTATTATTCAATACAAGTTATATGATAGAGATGATGTTTACAAAGCTAGATTTCAGAATTGCAAATTCATAGAAACTTGTTTTCCCGGCTCTAGACACTCCAATCATATAGAACTTAGCTTTAGAGCCCAAGAGACTCTCACCTTAAACCCGGATCCACAAACAGCACTTACAGATGCTGAGGTTTAAAAACTTCTAGACTTGCAGAACCTAGCCAAAAAGCTCCCTGACGGATTTCAATCCGGACTTAGAATATTCCAAAGTCCACTACCTTGGGTCAAAAAACCCCATGCACCCTTCAATATCCAAGAAATGTATGACTAATACACGAATAGCACTCCTAGTGAAACAACCCGAGGAACCATCAGACCCATGGTCAAACCCTTAGTCATTTGTAATCAGACTTACTAATTCTGATTTTGACCCTACTACTTTAGATCAAGGTAGGAAGAGATGAGATTGGCCACAGCGGAAAAAAGCATTACATGCCGAGTACCAATCCCTTAGCAAGCGTTCAGTTTTGGACCACTTGTATAAGATCTTACAGTCAAACACATAGATCACAAACTTATATCCACTAGAAAACGTGACGAACACAAAAATATAAATCGTTACAATGTACGTCTAGTTGCACAAGGATATACTCAGAAACCGGGAATTGATTTCGACCAAACATATTTCTCTGTCATTGATAGTATTTCATTCTGCTATCTCTTAAGCCTAGCAGTCCAACTTTCACTTGAAACACGTCTCTTAGATGTTGTCACTGCATATCTCTACGACGACTTGGACACATATCTACATATCAAACCTTCACCAAAGTTTGTGCCAAGCTTGCCACCAATCCAATCAGGACATTTTCACGAGATACGAATACGGAAGGCCCTCTATGGCCTAAAACAAGCCGGAAAAGCATGGTACCATAGCTTGAATTCCTATTTGATGTCTAATGGCTTTCAAAATCATCTTGCTCTACCTTGCATTTTTGTTTTGAAGGAAGATACACAATTTGTGATCCTAGTTGTTTATGTGGATGATTTGAACTATATTGGATTACCAACATTAATCAAGCATGTTGAACTCATGCTAACTAAACAGTTTGAGATGAAATTGTTCGGCAAAACATCATATTGCCTTATACTCCAGATTGCTCATCTTGCAGATGGAAGTATTCTTCTTCATCAACAAACTTATGCTCGCAAGCTTCTCAAAACGTTCAACATGGAACACGCGAATGCCATATCATCATCTATGATAGGGAGGAGCAAGACTGACGATGATCACAATCGTCCAGCTGAACCCGGGGAGGAGGAGTTGGACAAATCAAAGTTGGACAAATCATCTAGCAGTAGTTGGCACACTCTTCTACTTGGCGACAAAAACTCGATCCGACATCAGTTTTGCCGTCAGCGTCCTCGCCTGTCACAGCCAACGTCCCACAACACTGCATTGGCAAGGCATCAAACACCTCCTCAAGGAACAAAAGATCTTGATCTTCATTTTTGCCGCGACCAAAATGATATTATAGGCTATGCCAACTCTGGGTTCAATTCAAATCCAACGACTTGCAAGTTCCAAACAGGTTACATCTTTATCAAACATGAGGCACCAATTTGTTGGAGATCCAAGAAACTAACAATCACACTACAACTTCAACAAATCATGTTGAGCTCCTTGCGTTTCACGAGGCAGCTTGCGCAACAATGTGGCTGCGCACCATGCAGACCGCTAAATACAAGATGATTGGATTTCCAATTCAAGAGAAGCCAACAACAATTTTTGAAGATAACACAGTTTAAGCAAGTTTCTTCAAGCCACTTTGTGTCAAGCATGTAGGTCATCATTTGTTCAGCTACACGATAAGTCGGATGGCAGTGCGGAAGATAGTTTCAGTTTAGAATATCACGGTTATACTTTCCAAATCGTTAGTTTCAGTTTAAAATATCACGGATAAACTTACCAAGTTATTACCAACTCTGCACTTCATTCCTTTTCTTCAATCTTATTGAAGTTTATTAATGAGGTATTTCATAGTTTGGAGAGGAGTGGTGAGATAATCGATAATCGGTCGATTATCGGTGAGATAATCGACCGATTATCTCATTTACCCTAACCCTAATATCTGTTGAAAGGTCTAACCAACTATTTCTATTAACAAATTATCAAAGAGGTTTACACTAACCCTAAAAGTTCCATATAACCATGAGACTGGAACACCCTCCTAAATTATTAATATATGATAATTTGAGATTATTCAATAGGATCGACAATTATTATACAGTAAATGTCGTTGCTTATTTCTTTTAAGACATTTTAAAGTCAGAATGCAAACACACAAGTTTTGTTACATTCCAATTATTCGCGCCGCAGTTAAGAGGTCCAAAGAAAAAATGAGAATAATAATAAATTTTTCAAATTAAACTCATGCAGTAGACAACTGCGAAGTGTACACTTCTTGTGAAAGCATCTATAAAAACAAGCGCTGTACAGTTTCATCACTCCCTAGCACTTACAGTTCAAGTATCTGAAGCGATATTCTGGGAGCAGCGGCTAAAAAACGCGTAGTCTCTACTCTTGTCGTTCTCTAATTGGAAAATACAACCTCAAGCCCTTCTGTATACAGCAGATAATATCCTGAACAAAAGCTTGGGCGGCACTAGAAAGTTATCCACCCAAACACTTATGAGACTGATAAATCCCCGTGACCATGCTCGTTCGAGCACTATCTCCTAATTGGCAGAACGGCGCTACAATAGTATGTTCATCTTCAATGTAAACTCAATCCCAACTCTATCTATACCCTCCCTCCCTGATTCTATCTAACTACTGTTCGATTAACTTGGTCTCCACTGTAACTCCACCTGTATCTTTCCGTTCTTAGAATCTATCAACTGATACTTCTCATTGATTCGCTTGTTGTTCACAACATCTGATAAGTTGATATCAACATACCCCAATGGCTCCTGCACTCCAAGATCAATGCACAGCAACCCTTGAGACAAGGCCTTCAAACCAACAGAAAAAGCACCACTTCTGACACATTAGCGCTACGGCGCAGGGACATTCATAATTGTTAGCAGACAAAAACAATCAGTAAATTCAATGGAACTATATTGAATTCAGCTAGATTGTTGAGTGTCAAGCAATATTACCTTCAGATGGTAATTGAAACCCAAATTCTTGCTCATAACTTCCACGTGCAAGCGATCACTAACTGGTGGTTCATCCAGTATCCACTCGAACCTTTGATCCCACTTAGGGTCCCTGTTCTTCTTGATATGCTGCACGTTTACATCTCACAGGGCGAATTAGATCACAGCATATGAGACAAATCTACTCAAGTAAGAGAAGCAAAGGCATCACAAACAACTGCATTAAAGAGAGAGTAGCGGAATCATGTTGACTGAACTTACCTTTGTTCTCTTTTCTTCTCCTCTTAAAATCACACGAGCATACGGGTTGGTATGATGTTTGCCCTCTACGTCTTCCGCTTCATGAATAACAACGACTAACAAACCTCCACCCGCAGGTGTACCTTCCGGCGCTTTTTCAACAGCTCCATCTTCATCTTCTTCCTCAATGTCATTCATCTCCTCTTCTTTGAATGGTTTGTAGTTCAATTCGACGGTAAGAGTTCCTCTGTCTTTATTATTGGAAGGATCATTAGAGTCCATGTTCTTGACAAGGGTCAGAATTTCGGTACTATTCTCTTCGGGGTTTAATTTCTTGAGAGAAACAACGGCCATTCCGAGAGTTTCGTGTGAGCCAATCTGCAATATGGAAGAATTTTTATTTATCAACGTCAACAAGAGAATTCGAGTAAATCGTACTGAGATTGACAGAAGTAAGAGTAATACGAGTTATCTCCCTAAAGATCTGTAATTCAAACGTTACCTTCTCCCAATCGTAGACATGTAGTTCAAGGTTCTGGGTAGAAGGGTCATGAACGATCAGCTTGAACGACTCATTCCACTCGGGATTGAGGTTACCCTTCACTGTCCTTGTGACTTTCGCAAAGTGATGAGCCTCTCCAAGATGAAGTTTGACATAAGGATCAGACTTGCCTATTAAATCTTTCTTCTTCAACCCCTTCGCTCTCACAACCTTCACATTCAGAAGTCCCACGGGTCTCTTCGCAGCACTGTACATAGTTTCGAAATCATTAAATTAGGATCCACTTATGTTGTAACAAAGAAGAGGAGTTTTCAAAAGAAGGAAAAAAGTGATGAAACGTCTAGAGGGTAGCTTACTTTGCATCATCCACCACATTAATTTCCAAAGTTTTTGGCCAAAGATACATGTTTGCAACTTGCTCTTTGATGAGGTCCTGCAGATCGACAAGCACTGAAGTTATAGTTTAAGTTAAACACTCATGCACCGGGAGATTTTTTTTTTAAAGTCCTCATCAAAAGTTCTGACTTGAAAAAGGGCTAAGTGTTGCGCCTACCTGTACAAGTCTATAAACACCAGGAATTGCCATGATATCTCCACCCAAGAGCTTCAACCCGAAATCCACGTGGGGCTGTCGCAGAAGTCACGACAAAAGTTAAAGTTGGAAACATTTAAAGCTCCAAAAGAAAAGTGCAACGATAATTTCGAAGTAAACTAGACAGAAAACGATCTGAAAGGACTAAACTCGTTAAAACTTGGAGAATGCTCACTCCGTTTCAAGCAAACTGCAAAAAATACACGGAGGTAGCAAATTGAAAAATAAACTCCTGCGTTTCCAAAGATATAGGTGTACCTTTTCCATCAAAGAGACAACGATCTTGGAGAAACAAGGGAAAGTTTCAATCAAGGGTCGTAGTGTCACTCGAGCGGTTGCAAAGACTTGCACATCCACCAACTGGAAAACAAATCATCTCTGGATGAGATATTCTCCAAATCCTTCATAAAAAGGTTAAGTACAAACCTTACGAAAACTCAGCGCGACATCGACTGCACTCTAGTTCATCCCAAATAGGACAAATACAAATTTGAAATCCTCGATACGTACGCTGAAAACCAGTCACCTACCTGCACTGTTGCTTTCATCCCAAACGCCTTGACAGCGACAACGATATTCGGATTCCCAGCGAATTTGAAAGAAGGCTCCATGATCATCTCTTTCTCCTGAGTATCGTAAACTTTCATGCCTACAGACAACATTCAACCATCTTCTGTGATCCCTCATTTTTCGTACAACAAATGACCTTGTATACAGCTGCTGATGTGTCTCTGTGATTATGTGATATCCACCATCACATATATCTATCTATCTGACCATGCTAACAGGAGCACAAACTTCCCTGTAATCATAGTTCATAATCGCTTCTTATAATAGCACGAGATATATCTCTATGTAGATTTCCTTATATTTGTGTATCGGAGCAACAATTGTGTTGAGAGAAGCCAATTTACCAACAAAGGTGGGAGGCAAAGTGCCCAAAGTGAGCTGCTCGAATTCGATTGACTCCAACTTAAATTTTGGACCATATAGATCGATGTATGGTTTTGCTTGCTCGCGGATTATTTTGCAGATAGCCTGCGTGTATAAACGACGAAGTTAGGTAATCGACGCAGGCTTTTGTGGTAACAATTCCCTAAATCCACTTCAAGATAAGCGAGAGATATCATCAGGCAAGTAACAGAAGGAAAATTTCCAGATACTACACTATCTCAATCAATCTCAAATAAATTTAGATGAGCATTGAGATGAAACTTATGTTATGTATAAACCTTCCGCTTTTGTAAATGAGAGGCTTACTGAACCAAGAGTCATGTATCCAAATAAACGTCATACCTTATCCAGAAACGGCCACAGGTCGCGGACAAACTTGTTCAACCAGTCAACCTGGTAGCAGAGAAGAAGTTGAACATATAAGCTTGCGTTACCACTAACACTGCGGCGGCAGCGAAAATATGCATATATCGTTAAATCCGAACAGTATACGACCTACAACACTATACTACCCTTGTAGTACAACAGAACAGTATTGTGGTCCTACTTGAAAAATGATACATGATTATGGCATGCTTCAAAACATCAGCCATTGTAGGTAGGTCCCGTCGTGAGGTAGTCACCCTATCATAATCAGGATTCTTCACCCAGTGCGGAATTTCTGGCAGTAACCCTCGAAGAGTTTTGGAATCGAGTTCAGACAGCGGCCTGATAACCGGATCCTGCATCACAATAATGACGAGTTAATGAACTCTCTTTAGGTGAAAGCCTGAAGGAAACTCAGTAAAAGATCAGATTAAGAAGAAAGCGAACCTCTGTCAAGTTGAACCGCTGTACCAATGTTCAGGGTTGTTTGGTTTACATAAAAATTGAACGAGTGAGAATAAATGGAACAGTATTCATAGCAGGCACAGCACATGACTGCTTCATGTGATCACGGTGCATCCACACAACGCATACCCTTCACTTTTGTTTCTCATGAACATGTCGAAAGAATGAGCAAGGCTTCAACCACGAACTCCAACAACGAAGCTTCATCAACTTAGGCTAGAGTCATCGAGATCCGCGAAACTAACTCCTCCATAGTTCTGACCATATGAAAGAACGTGTCTATCTAAAACAATTTGACGCACTGTCTCAAGACAGTATTCCTGCGAATTGATTGTTAGGCTGAACTGGTTGTTTCAAGATAAAATAATTTTATTTGGAAGCAAGTGAATTACCAGTTCAACGTCAAATTGACATCCAGAATTTGAAGACAGAGAAACGCTTGATCATGCGGGAGCTGTACAAATCTAGATTATGTACAAGGCTATTATCTTGTCACGATCTATCAGCCTGACAATAGTAATGAAATGTAACTAGCAACTTGCGTAAAGGAAGTGCAAGTAGCTCTCTGTCACTTAACTGCTGACAACATCAGCATGCTATGCAGAACGCAAACTGACCCTCGATCTCTTTGAGTCTGTTAGTTTCTTATGTTTATATCAAAAATGATCCCTGACCGGTAAAGGAGCTGAACACGCAATATTCCGTTGCATTGGAAAGCAAAACGTTAGATGTTGCTCATTGTCATGTAATGACAGGTTTGAGAAGCTCCAAGTAAGAAAGGTATTCATTGATTGTCAATAGCATCCTCCAGTCCTCAAAGAAACAAACTTCTTCAGGGAGGCATACGACGTTCCGAAGCCTTTCAAGACCTCGTGCGGCCTACAGAAACTTTTGTAAAAGTGAATACAGTCCTCACGAAGAGAACGTGGTTCCTACAGAATACTGCTTATCCTTAATGGTGTACCGTAGGCATATGTCGGACATGTTTGGACCTTGCTCGTATCCATTTAACAACAAACGAAAGTCAGTAGGAAGGTGTGCAAGATTCCTAAATATACAATCTTCGACCTTGAGCGGGTTACGAGGATATTATGAAAAGTCTATTGATACAGAAAACACTGTCTGGACAAGAAACTCGTTTCAAGAACAAATTTGCTTGTCCTTGCCAAAGGTGCTTCGTACACATAATTCGGCCAATTCTGAACTTTGCTCGGTTCCATTTGAATACCAAGTGTCAAAGCAACGCATGTGCTCCATAAAGCTTCGCTGTGAACTGGGGAACACGGAGCTATGAAGCACCCACGTAGACTTTGATCTAGAACCTCCATGAAGTACAATTCGCGCTACAAAATGAGATGACTCTGACTGAAATCCTCGTTCTTAGGAGGTGACATTAGAGGGCAAGCGGCGGTGACGTTGGCTGACAGGTAAGTAGAAACGGAAAAGTGAAAGAATTCGAAATAGAGAAGGGGAGCGAAAGTACCTTCACATCGACAGGTTGCGTGTAAATGAAGAGGAAGTACCCGACAACTAAACCGATGCCGATACCCCATCCAAATCCCACCAAACCCAACACAGTGCTCATAATCCCCATAGTTCGAAGAGAAGCTGCCACTCAAAACCCTGTAAGAAGCAACAATTCTCGATTCACAATCTGGAAATTCTACACCCGAACGGGCTTCGTCACCAGATCCACATCTATCTATGCGGAAACCTCTCTCCGCCCTGTTCCATTCCCAAGCAGATTCAGCCCTACGCCACGAAGAAGCAAAAGCAGATGGAAACAGTACGCGCGCGAGTAAACTGTCCTTTCCGCAGCCCGGATGCAATGCGATCACGGATGCAGAGCATCGGAATACTCGTTCGGGCAATACGACGAGCGCGAGGCCATGACCACAAGCACTTACAGCGTTTTTATCCCCGCGAATCCAATCGTCCGCCCACTCTTGTCGAGACCCCGCTACTCGATCTGCCGAGATGTGCCCGGGACGACGACGACGACGCCCAATTGCACAGCTGCAGCCTCATGCGCACTGCTCCCGCCTGTTCCGATGTTGACTAAAGCTCCCCGTTCCTCGCTCGCTCTCTTCCTCGCTCCCTCGCAGCTCGGAACAATAATTCTCGCGGCCCCCCGGCGTGGCATGTCCACTTAAGCTCCAGAGCAGCAGCGAGGAAGCCATCGGCCCATCGTCGTCGTCGTCGTCGCACTCGCACTCGCACCCACGCGAGCGATCTCCCGAAAGCTTCGACCCGCAGACTTCCTCCGGCTTTCACCCGAGGTAACTTTGAGTCGCGACGACGTGTCGGCTCGCGATTCCTCCGATCGCCGCGGGCCCCGTTGCCGAACGTTGGGGGCCCGAAAGCTTCACCATGTATGCTTCCTCCCACTTTCACCCAGGGTTAGTCCCGTCTGTGGCACGTGCCGCGCGCCGATTCGCTCTGGAGAGGCGACCGTGCTCTTCTTCTGACCGGCGGCAGTCGGCTGCAGCGCGGACCGTTGAACATAGCTGTTGTCCGCTGAGGCTCTGGTGGCATTCGAACCTCTGCGGGCGAGTGACCGGCGAGATTTGACGTGCGCGGGATTTACCCCAGCCCGCCCTCGAGGGTTCTGCGAAGCTCGACCGGATGACACGAAGTCGTTACGGGATGAGATGCGCTGCGTGTCATGTATTGGCGAGCAGCGATGGCCTTGGAGCCGTCGATGTGAGGAATCCGGCGCCTCTCGTCTGCGGGCTGGTGATAGTGACATGTCTCGTCTTGACCTTTTGGCACAGTGACTGCTATAGGAACTTGCCCGTCGAGGATGACGAGATGCAATCTCGGCCGACTCGTCTCGTCGAGTCATAAATGCAGCCATCGTTGACGTGAATGCCACCTGGCGGTGTTGGAACCCCCAAGTTTGCCAGTTGGCTGCTCTTCCGATTCCACATGTCTCCAGCACCTACCCGGATCGCTATTTTAGTGAACATCCGACTCCCTGTTCGGATTCAGTTTCTCCATCTGTCAACAGTGTGTACTTCCCTCTCTCCTTTCGCAACTGCTCTACCATACAAAATCACCAACTTCGCGTTCGCACGACTCCTTGGACTTTATGCTGGACGTGTGAAACATAGCCGTCGCATCGTCTGGAGCATCGGGAGTCTTCAAATAACGTACCGCGTATTTACTGCACTATCTAGGAACCCGGTATTGAAGCTCAGGCCAAAACTTCCAATTTACAAATTTCAATATTGACATGTTATTAACATCTTCTTTATACATGGAGCAGCTCTGATTTTAAAACAAATTTTAAACACATATTCAAGTAAAAGCTCGGCGATTTGAGGTCTCTAATATTTCGACATCTAAATAATCATTGGAGATCTTCTTCCATGTTATTCGGAGGAACATCCATCATGCACGTACTAAATTTCATTCGATTAGATCATGACATTACCCTTACAGAATAGTCAACACCTCTAAGTCAATATTAAGTTCCTCGTAAAATACTCAATAACATGACTATATTTGTAAAAGTAAATTCAAGGGACGAAATAAAGTAACGATCCCGATAGGTGGCATTAGGAATTCACAGAGGTTAAACATTTTAGGAAATTAGATACATAATACATATACAATTTTAATTCGATGATTTTTTCTGCAAATTTGAAGATGTACATGTAATAGAATGAAATGCAACACAAATCAGCTGTAGTTCATTACTTTTATCGTACAGGCTCATTCAAACTAAACTAAAATAACATACTAGCATAATTTTCAAAATACTTTTGTAATAATATAAGTATACACATGCTCTTCATTCTCTACCATTCTTATATTCATAACCACCACTATTTATATATATTCAACAATTGTCAAAATGATGTACGTGTATAATACAAAGCTTTAAAAAAAGCTCCCGATACAGTCTAGTCTCAACTCCAGCAGTACTATCCTCGTTTCGTTTGACATCCTGGCTGATGAGATATTTCAGAAATATCTCATCGATTCTATGTATCCGGAGATAACTTCCACTCTCACAAATCAGGAAATGCATGCGCATTTCACTACTTCAGTTAGTACGCTTGCTGCAAAAACAACCAACGGACTGAAATTTTGAACTAAATCACATCAAAATTCAGCCAGACCTGCTTGGTAAAAGCTGAGAGCAGTTGAGGCCCATTACAATACACAGATTAGAAGGCAAAAATTCAAGTACCAAGTATTCTCTTCTTAAATAATTAATCTGTGAAGACAAAGTATTAAGTGCAACAACAACTCAGCAGCCTTGAAATTCTCCAGGCCACCTTGCTTGTGCTATTAAATTTCAATCATTGGCAATTGAGCGTCGCGAGCACGCTCTGTGGCATATAGTTGAAGTAAAGACCAGATCCATTGAAAGACAGTGATGTTTCGGCACTCTACAATCCGAGCTTGATCCTTCTCCAGTGCCTGCGCTTGGCATTGTACCTGCGGATGTGGTGCATAGAGTTCGTTCTTGAGTAAATTTCTTAAGCCCCTGAACTATTGTGATGTTCGTTTATTTACAAAACTCAAACCCTTATCAATGATTATGATAGCCAAGTGATATGCTGGTAGTGTTGCAGTGAGCTTCAATATCATGTCAATCTACTCGAAATGGAAATAATGGGGCATTACTTGTGGACATCCGAGGAAGCTCTCGCTTGGCTATGTACTCTTTGAGTTTGTTCAATATCTGGGAGCTTTTCCTCCTCCCTCGCATCAAAAGAACTTGCGGAATGTCTTTAGTTCTCATGGGCGCTTTAAAAAAGTGAGGAACATTCACAACCAGTTTCTGCATTTCCTCGTAGAGCCAGCGGGAGAGAAAGTTCAAATATTACCATAACAAATCCATTCCGCTCTTCTCAGCTTCACCAGGACAACCATCTCAACCCGGCTGAATATACCAACTAAACAACAATCGACAATTCTGTGGCCTTTGCCAAGAACTACAGCTCAATCAGTCAAACGTCCTTGCTTTCATCTTGGGAATGGGAACAAATTGTGTCAACACTCACTTGAACTATACAAGAAACTGAGTTTTGTCTCCCATGAACCACACCAGCCAGGTGCGGAGAGTTCGTTCTTGAGTATATTTTGTGATATATTGTGATGTTCGTTTACTTACGAAACTCCAACCCGAATCAATGATTTTTTAACGCTCAACTGAACTCAGTGACATCGGCCCTAGAGGCTGGAGTTAACGTCGAGCTTTGACAGGTATTTGGTTTACTGCTTTAGGTATCAGCACTATGGCTTTCAACTTAAATGGTTTTAACTTTAACCAATCTGTTGTTGACAGTCAAGGTCGTGTAATTAACACTTGGGCTGATATTATCAACCGTGCTAACCTTGGTCTGGAAGTTATGCATGAACGTAACGCTCACGGTGTCAATTTTGCAAACCTGATAGTCAGCTGTTGATCTGGTTTGTGCGGAAATCCAACGTTGATTTGTAATCCTTGACTCGGCAGAAGTGTTGTCTAAATCTGAATTCCTTTGCCGTCGGTTCTTGGTTGAATTTCACATTAGCCCCGATCGGACAGACGAGTGCAGAGCTGACTACGTGCTACTGCTTGTGCTGCCTTGGCTTGCGTTGTTCGCTCTGCCTTCGGGGCTTCGGGTTGTCTTGCCTCAACCTGGGCCGGGCTCGTGTCACGTTTGATCGTGTTGGAGCGATCGCTCCAACACGTGTCTCACATTGGTTGTCCATGTGTCGAATTTGAATAGCGACAGTCGACGGATGACTTCCTGACGCGACAGTGACAAAGTAGTAACCGTATGCCGTCAACCCACAGTCGTTCAGTCGGTGTTGTTCTAGTCTGCAATATAATAAGTGGGTGTACAAAATAAAAAATAATCTAAGAATTGATAAAATAAAATCTCTAAAATCATGTTGATGGTTAAAGATTTAACACAAGATCGTGATATGAATTTCAGCAAAAGTTTTCACTTGTAATAGTATGATAAAATTCAGCTTATATATGCATTTATTGCAATATTTGATCAAATAATAAATAAATGTAATTACAACATATGTTTATGAATTTTTAAGCAATAAAATCTCAAAAAACCTCAATAAGTTTCAAAAAACAAGATAAACAAGTCAATTTTAGATTATTGAAATAGATTAAAACAAGCTCATAGACAATGAATTTCAAGGTTTGAAAAGTTGATAAAAACACTAGGATTTCAAAAAAATTCTATGATTCATGTATCTAAATAAGTAAATCTAATTGTGTGAGAGAGAGTGTGTTAGGGGTTAAAATAATTGATAGCGGAATCACAATACTTTCCTTGGTATATTTTGTTAGATAACATGGTTTTAAGTGTTTAACAAAACACTAGATAAAACTACATATATAACAACAGAACATAACTTGTATCATTTAGCGTGATTTTTGTACTATGCATCACCTATTATTTGTTAAGTGTATGACTTAGAAAGTTCAAGTGTGTTGGGTTTTGTAATATTCTCTATTGTGATATATCTAGTAGTTGGATTTTTCTTCGGTCAAGTGCTTGATGTTGGAATCTTCCCCTGTCTTTATCTATTTGGCCCCTTTATCTTCTATATGATAGCTTTATGTCAAATGTCTTGTGTGTGCGATGGAGTACATGTCCATTATGGGGGAACGAAGAAACATACGGATCCAGATTGCACCATTTTGTAAAAGTGAAACCGCAATGACTTTGAAGATCCACGCGAGACAATTGTGTCCCGGAAAAATGCTGGATTTTTCATCATATGCTGAACTGTTGTTCTTTCCTGTCACAGCAGCTGTTTAAAAGTTGATGGCTTCCTGTGGGAAAAAGAAGCAGCAATCTGAATCTTAAATGTTTGGAAAGACTTGACATGACGCATCAACACAAAGCATGGATAAACGAAGGGCTAGTTAATTTGTCCCGGTATTTCAATAAAGTAAAATCGACTTGATCTTCAACTCTATAGTGGCATATGTTGCCAAGTTTCTGAAAGAACAAACGGAAGAATCGAGGGTGTGAAGTGTTCCTGGCGGCCCCTTGTCTGCAAGAGTGAGACGTAAGAAGTGTTTAAAGGACAAATGATGGAATTTATCGATGCATGAAAGGACTCCAGAAAGAAGAAAATGACGAGATTTGAATATTCAAAAACCACATTCGTTCATTGGGTCGATAAATCTTGGATACTCATGACTCAATCTATGGTGAAAAAATAGATTATTGCAACAGGGTTTGGAGGTGTATACAAAGAACGCCATATATGAAAACATGATGTGTCCGGCGAAGAATTTGTTAAGGTGTGAAAAGATCACCAACAAAACATGGATACTTTTGCCTGTGAGCATGTTACTTTTGCTTGTAACCTATAATCACACAATTGCGCTTGAAAGTCTAGGACATCCTGAGGGTTTCATTATCACGTGTATGCTACACTGTAGATGTTATGATCTTTATTATTCATCTTAAGATCTACAATATTGGCATAAATTTTTTGGTTCAATTTAATCGTCGGTGACCGGAACCTGTTTTGCTCTGAATTAGCTTTTACTCTCGACGTAAACCAGTGTTCTGCAAAGTTATAGCTTAGAAAACTGTTGCAGAACATTAGAGCTGTATCCATCTGGCTTCAGTGTGGCTATCTCAGGCTCATGTTTATGGTGCTCGTCTATAGTCTTGATTTGTAGTTGGTGTTCCTGGCTCGGGCATACTTATGCACCCCGCAGGATTTTCAACCTAGATCAGTACCACATGTGTGGCCCAAGTATGCAAGTTCAAACTACCGTCGTGTCACACAATATATCGGTCTTCCTTGAACTTCGTCCATGCTCCAACATGCGGATACCTTTCTAAACTTCTCTGTTAAAATTTTCAAACTGGTCCCAACTTTTGTCAGGAAAACCCTTCAAAGAAGATACAACCCTTCAAAGAGGAATATTGGACTACGTCAGTGTGTAGACGATGCTTGTCATCGACAAGAATATAGAATGCTGCAGTCCATTCACCTTGAATGTGATCGTCATGCTTTCAACCATTAGGTAATGCATAGGCATTCAAGATATGTGCTTCTTACTTCTTGCAGCCTTATTAAAATTTATTCACTTTGTTATTTCTGTGCTGCGCATTCACAGTTGACCTTTCGTTTCGAGAATGCGAGAAGTATGTACGTTGAGTGGTCATCACTGACAACAAATGGTCAATGGTGATCTTCAGTAAAAAAATTCTAAATTCTCATGTTCGGTAGTCCATTTCAACTTCCATAATATCATAACCTAAACTATTGATGCGTAAACAAACACTACTTCATAACTTAACCACTTCATAACTTTCGCTTGTATTAAAATTTTCCTGGTTGTCCACGATCTCTCGGCTGTTAACAATCAGCTCCTCTATTAGTGGTACCGCCAATGGCCCAGACAAAATCCGTAATCATAGCTCCAAGAATAAGAAGTTATACAGCTCTACTGCTCAGAAGACAGCACAAAGAGGCCCAGTGTCGGATAACTGGAACTAAATGCGATGTGCTGTCAAAGTAGAGAGATTACAATGGTAAAAAGTGATTATGTGAACGGCCGAGCTTCGTGTGGATAATGATCACCGTTTTGAACAGAGCTTAGTAATGATATGAGTAGCATGAGAATCATCTGTAATCTGGAACAAGATTCCACATCACCATGATGCACTCACCCGAAAACCCAATGCACGGGTATACTACCGAATAGACTACCGAAGATCGCAAAAATCAGCTGATATGAACTCGAAATTTAGTACTTAGCACGCAGAATAAGACATACTACATGATCCTGAGAATATTTAGAGGTGATGGACTGTCTCCGGGCTTCTGGAGAGATAACCATCATTCAGGACAAACAGAATTTCCACAACTACATAACCGCAAAAACAAAACTCTCCCATGTCAGGGAATAAAAAGCAATCCTTACCTGAATTACTCAATCAACCACGACATCGAATGTATGTGACGTGATGTCAACTTCTTGTTAATCCTTCAAATATGCACAATCGGCTCAAAACAAAAAGTTCGAGCTCATAGAGAAATTTCGTGCAGGTGTTCTCCTGATAGTCAATGCAGCGCCATTCACGGGCGTGCTTCCATGTCGTCCCCACCAACTTTCAATCTGCATGGCCAATTCGGCAGTTAGCGAATTGTAATCCAAGTACTCTGGAGGGGATCATTTACAATCTAATCCTGTTATACCTCATAGTAAAATAACGTTGAAGGATATGAAAGGAGAAATGTCACCTTTGGTGTGTAATAAATTCCTATCTAAAACGTGAGACCTCTCGCTCAAGGCGTTTCAGCTCAACCGCATAGAGTAGATAGAATTTCTCAACTTCCGTGTGCAGATATCTAACATCGCAGATGATTTGTGAATGTACAAAGAGCTCCAACTAAGAGAATCCACAGACCACGGACATGTGGACTCTATGCAGCGATTAGCTGGCGGTTCCCAGCCTTCAAGCTTAGAGCAAGATCTGATTTCTCGTTGACATTGGAGATCCCAGGGTCTTCAAAACTTCGCTCAATATCCGGAGATGAAACAAACTAACATTTTCACTGATTCTTCACTCTCCAGAATGATATAGGGAGTCCAATAGTCCAATTCATTCGTACAATGTCGACCTGCAGACAGAATGATCGACAAGACTACACTGAACGAACGAGAAATAATAAATGACGAGTAAAGCGGAAGTTAAAAGAACAAGCTGTTAACTAGTTAAATTTGGTAATTTGAATGAAACTTCAAAAAACAATATTTTACCTTCGAAGCTGCGATAATGTACATGTCAAATTCTCTCAACTGATAAGCAGATTTGCCCGGGATCGTTCGGAGAAAGATTGCTTATACTCATGTACATGCTCGGTATCTCCGTTGCCATGGGCAATCTTCGTAGGAAACGCTTCGTCCCCTTCAGAAGTCTTAGTCTCAAACTCTGCTACCATTCTACCCAACAGGATTTCGGACTCAGTCAACTCCAGCTTGAGAGCCCAAGGACCAAGATCCTTTTTTTCTCTGCTGTGTGGAATGACATTATCAAAAGCTGAGTCATAATATCCAAGTTCTTCTTTCGGTGAAATTTGTTTATCACATTTACTAAGTTCTATAAGATTCGCATTAGACAACGGAGGGGTTACAGGAAAGTCATCTCCATGGGCATGGTCGCCTGCAGGTCTAGAGTTCCACAAGTCTAATTGTTCCATCATGTCGTCCAGAAACAATTCTGAGTCTGTCAAAGCCAGCTGCATCCGCTTGGAGGAATCAAATCCAGTTCTGGAGATCAGCCAATCCGTCACGTGTCTTGAAATAGGACTAACTTTGACCTCCTTTTGTGACTCCTCCAAATATCCACCTCTGTACTGCATAGGAAGGCTGAGAGTTTCCGGTGTTGAAAATTGTGTCTGGTATGAGTTTCTAGCTGAACGAGTTGGTGTTTCCTCTCGAACAGCAGTCCGCATTTGTTGAGGTGGTGAAGCCTCTTCCTTTCTTGAGCAGCCCTGGTACGCTATTCCATCATCCTCATAGCCAGTTTGGCCAATTAGATCATCTAGTAGAGGCTCCGCATTACAATATCTGTCAGTAATATCTAATGCTTGATTAGCAGAGCTGTGGTATTTCTCAAATTTCTCAAGATGGAAAGGAGGCCTCTTCTCAACCCGGGATACGTAAACAAGAGCAGCTTGCATCTCATCGAGGAGGATTAACCTGGTTGCAAAAATAGCCTGAAATATTCTGGCCCACCTGGGAACCAATATATTGCCAGTCTTGGACCAATCGATAGTGCATCCCCTTTGGACCATTCCATTGACTTCCCACCTCATTGTTGGATTGTCTGTACTAGTCCCTTCTACTATTGAGAGATACTTCTGAAGGACCGATTCCAATGTCATCTTTTGTGAGATGATTGAGATTCCCGTGTCGAATGAAGGAACTGAAGGAAACGCTGGAAGGCGACAGGAAATCAAAGCAGCATACGCAAGTTCCAAGGTTTTGCTATGATTCCAAGCTTCTAGTGAAGGCATGTACTCCCCATCTTTTCCTTCCAACTTCCTTCGTGGCGGAGAATCAGGCGGCCAATTTAGTGGGATAGAACGGGCAGTCTTCTCGATCTCATCGACAGCCTTCTCCAGTGCTTTGTTGTACACAGTGATACAATGCTCAGGTTTCACATCCCTGGGATACATCCTCAAAAGGAGCCTCAAGTGATCGTCTAGGTGCTCTTTGACAAGGTCTGCAAGGTGAACCGGGCGCAGCTGTGGTTGGCGTGGACAATGGTAGGCAAGCCACAGAAGCCCGTCTGTCAAGGCGTGGCCACTGAAGTAACATTTCTCGTCAGGATTTACTTCTGGTGATATTCCGATGTAAATCAATTTGTGCTTGCTGATTTTTTCCCGACTAACCTCATCTGTCTTCAAAAATAGGTCCCAACTCCGTAATAAGGACTGTTCAGCTTCCCTACCATTCTCATATCCTGCCTCGGTTGATATTACGAGAAGAGGTACACTAACACCGTCCGGAACAGCTTGTGCTAGAGTGTGCAACCTTGCCTGCTCAACTGCAACTGATTCATTCTCTTTGACCACGAAAACCAGTCCACTGGTTCCGTAAAAGGAAGCCTGCGAGTGTGATGTAGACGTGCTAGTTACCAACTCTCTTGTACTGTACCAAAGACCAACGTACTTGCCTCCAGCTCTATCGAAAATAATCTTCCCGTCGGCAGAAATGGTACTTAGCTCGACGCCCATGTAGGATTCTTCCGCATTTGATAGCAGTTTGCTGTTGACTTTGGTCCGAATCCAGTTCCCAGCTGCATTGCCTTCAGTCGAAAGGAGGAGGTTCCAATGCAGAAATCTAGTACCTCGATTCAGCTCATGCAGAATGGGCATCACTAATTTCGGTATATTGATTGGAGCCCAAAATTCTTGCAACTTCCGTGCTTGCTCTTCAACTAATGCTTGAAGATAATAGTGTCTGTCTTCTACACTCAACAAATCTCCACCGAAATCCTGCAAAGAAGAACAGACATTTAAGACAACTGCACCTCTACAACCAATTTGTATGAGTTGGGGTGGTAAATGCTTATAAGAACCATCTAGTTTCAGCAAATTTTACGACGACGCCACTTTCAAATTATTGGAGAAAAAACGTTGATAAAAACAGAGAAGGGTTAATTGTACAAAAGTGTAGTTATGAATTGAGTATCCATACGAACCACCAAGCGAGTACACCCCTTGCATATTTAGCTTAGAAAGATTCTTTCTTGTGCTTGTGACAACAGATGCTATGATATCCTCTCTAAGATACTCGCGATGAACATTATGAGGGTAAGATCTAATATCGACAATGGGTAGGCCGTCAAACCTGTGTTTTGACGAGAGGTAACCCCAATGATAAAGTATTCAATGCTGTTTCAGCCCGTTCTAGCTTTTGCTGACGCTCCAAAGCTTTGGCAGCGGCTCTTCTTCTCCACTTTCTGGACTTGCCACGAGATGAAATTATCAAAAGTACGTTAAATGACAAGCAAATGTGAAAGTCTTCTGTTTCACCTGTAAATTCCTTTCTCCTTAAAGACGTACCCTCCCGTCCATGAGCACTCTCAACAGCAATCCACCTCATATTCATCTTGGAAGAACAGTCTGAGTGAATCCTTCCACAGTTGAATTAGCAAATTGAAAATCACAATGATGAGCAATCTCTTACTTGGTTTAGGGCTATACATAATGTGCTTCACATTCTTGTTTATTTGGGGCCCATATATAAAGTCGGGGCTATTCAAAACTAAATATGCTTAAACTGCACATTTTAAAACGCCAGCCAAAAGCCAGCAATAAGAACTAACTTTCATGGTCAGAGGTAAAAGGAGGAAAAAGACGAACCTGAACCAACGCCATTGTTTCCCAGCATCCGCTTCGGCCTTGTGGGCTGCTCCTCTTAGCTTCTCTTCTTGTCTCTTAGCTTCTGCTGCGAGAGCTTGGCTAGCTGCCCTTCTTGCTGCTGCATCTGCTTCATGCCTCAAGCGTCTAATCTCGTGTTCTTCTGCTTCAGAATGAGGCTCTTCCATGCGTCTCTTCTTACTTTGTTTTACTTCTTCCTCAGATTGAACTTTGATCAACATAGACATATCAGTGACAAATGATAATGGGGCTGCCTGGATTTCCACCAACGGTTGTTCCTCTTCATCTACATAGTCAGGCATGTCTTCTTCCACGCTATCTACAAATGTGTGGATTGGATCAAAAATTGGTAGTTGATCGCCCTTTTCAATTGCAGGCAGTAACTTCCCTCCGATCATTGAACTTCCTTCTTTGTATTCGCTCCTTCCCGAGCTTACTAATTTCTTCAACTTGTTTGCTAAATCAGGCCTAGTGGGCAACAGTCCTCCAGATTGCACATCTGCTGCAATTACTGCTGATCGCTTGGCTTCAACCAGCTGAGAGCGGCTTGTTGGGAAGTCCCGTTCCTTATTTAAAAATGGGCCTTCCTTCACCATGTAATCCTCTTCGTATGATTTCATGGAAAAACCATGGTACTTTACTAAATCTTCAATGTTCTCACCCTAAGAACACATGGAAAACGGTTTGTGAGAAATCGGATCACCACAACAAGAGTAAGACTGAGAAAGAAATAGTGGAGGACAAACTTCGTCAATCATTTAAATTCATCAAGTTGTAGTGAGAGCCAACTTCAACGGGCAAAAAAAATCGGAAATATTCACATCGCCTGGCCTACCTCCATTCCAAGCCAATCCACAACAGTTGACAGAGGGATTCCTTGATTTTTTAGAAGACCACTATAGAGTGAGGCCAAAGCTTGTGTACGTAGCTGCAAAACATCGATTCTTGTTACGCTCTAACTTGTTTCATCCGTCAAACAACAAACAAAAAATACCACACAGTTTTCAGAGTTTTCATATCCTAAAACTTGTAGACACAGGGAGAATCGGTTGGTCATCCCAGAAACCATGCTGGTCTTGATCTGCTACGTTTTGCTCTTGAAGGATCAGTATGTCACATTTGAGAAAAAATTGGCCTACATACCCAACTTATCACACCATCATATCTTTGTCGCCAATGTTTGCGACAAAGACTTTATCTTTGTCTTCCTCCCGGTATTGCTCTCCCTCAAAAACGTACTCTTCTAAGATCAACGCCGTAACCATTTGAAATCCCAGGGCGGTATATACGTAATGTACTGAATATGGAAAGATGTACCTTTGCAAAATGAGCATGCATCAAACAAGCTTGTAGGTATGTTGCCTGTCGCGCCAGCCTGAAAAAGGCAACGTAATTGTTTCCTCTACATGCCCTGCTTACAAGAATCACTTTCATTAGGATTCAACAAACAAGATAATAACCGCCAACGAGAAGAAAAATTTACTGGACGTTAGTTTCACCCCAAACAGAAAAAAAAAATTTGAACCTTTGTTATCGCTGATGTCTAAGAGAAACTTTCAGCACCAGGCGATATTAAAACAAAATGGAAGGCTGCCAGAAGTCATAAAAGTCTACGTGTTAGGTAGGAAAGACACTTGGCATCAAGTTAGGTCTGAGGTACTTATAGAAAATCGTAGATCCATCCGCATATAACCTTTTGTTGGTAGTGAAATATAAAGTGGTCATGTGAATCGTAACACACACCTTGCAACATCTCGCGCGAAGAGAACTTGTGGGGACCTCCTTATTTCAGGAGTCATTTTAGCTAGATCAAGCGACAATTCTGCAGGTTCTACCTGAATACATTATTATTACAATATTAAAATCCCATAATACTATTGATTAATTGCAGCACAGAATATACTCCTGGGACTTAAAAAAATCCACGGAACCATGAGAGCAAAGAACACTTACTCGATAGCCGGGGTGTTTGTCAAGCTTTAGCAAAGCATAATATCCTCTGAATTCTGCCTCACTAGGAACTGAAATCCCTTGCTTCACATGATCTTCATACATCTGAAATAAATCAACGGAGGTTTTGTTCATCTGCTCTATATTCAGATGGGCATTAAAACCTTCACTAACGCCCGCTTCTCCCTGTACATATTCGCACAGCTCGTGCATAGCTAAAATGTGAAATCGGATCTGAAAGCAGAAGACAAATTCATCTGTCAGTGCAACCAGGCAGCGATTTTGTGCATTCTCTAGGGTGTGCAATGAACGAAGTCATAATGAAGAGAGAGAGCGTGTATTGCAAAATCTGAAGGTGTAGTCCTCGAGGATTAACGCTGACCATTTGTTCGTGCATTGTAATAGAATCTTCACCGAAAATGTGTTGCATTCGAAGATCCATTCGTACAGCCCGCATGCGATCCCACAGAAAGTTGTGAACTGAAAGGAGGTCATCTTCATGATCCCTTTCTAGCAGGGAGAGTAAGTGGGTCATGGTACTTTTTAGCACAGGTAGAGGGCGAATCAACACAGCACTCTTCTCAGCAGTTCTTGTATACTGCAAATAAAATACTCATCAGGATTTCCGATCATTTCTAATTAAGTACCTCAATGATATAACAAACCAACACTCAATCAGAATCAAAATCTATTGAATATTGAATTATATATTCTGCTGATTTCTAAGTTGAGTAGATTATGGTTCTAAGCTGGAAATAAAAAAGTTATCTGATCCAGAATCAACCCACTTTCTTTACTGCCAAATCTATACTGGTCTGGTTTCGATCACCTTCCACGCGCTCAAATCTGTCAAGGTCACCCTTCCGTTCCCGCTCTTCGCGCTCAATTTCTAAATCAAAGCCGAACAAGCTGTTTTATAAGACGATCGTGTTGGCATGAAGAGTTACATTGACATATTAAAATTTGAGTACGGGCACGTGATAAAACTTCAACAGATTGTATTGATGAAGCTGTATGAAGTTTTAAAAGACACAAACCTGGACACATGTCAGGACAGATTCCGAGTATAGCTTCAGTGTTTAAACTCTCTAACCCATCCAATTCTGACGAGTCCTCGATTATTACTTCTGGACGCCTGACAACGATCATTTCTCGCTTATTCAGGTTTCCACCCGGTATGGGGCTACTTCCAGGTTCTAACATGGTTCCTATCTCTCCTCCTGGAGAACTGTTCGGAGTTTGTCTTTCGACATTCGCAACTTCAGGTCCCAAGCGCTGTGTAGCTCCAGTCGATCTTCCTTCGGCACCAAATCTAACCCGTCTCCGTTCCTTTGCAGCTTCTTCTTCTCTGTAAAAATATGTAAAGACCTCAAATAACAATGAATCGACTGGCAACAAGCATTTGACTTGGCCTTTTGTTGAGTATCAATTCAAAACAGGCCAAAAATAGGCTGAACAAAAGAGCACAACATTGACGGTATAAAATGCCCAACTGGAATGTATCATGATATTAATGTTTATACAGATGCACAAGTAATGTGTAACATAGGAACTGCTTCAAGAGATTGGACCTTAGCGTACACAAGCACATTACTTTTCTCAAGAAACATGGTGCCACTTATGTAACCACCATAATACCTTACCATCTAACCTGCAAATATAACAGGCTACCCATCTTCTCAAGCACGAAGTTGTACATATTCGGAACAAGTTGCATAGTGGGAATTTCGTCGTAAATCATTCCCGTCTCCTCCCTGACTTATGTGCAGAAATATCCTCTATTTTATTTATTTATCGAGCAACAAAAAGCGAAGGAAAATACCTCTGTTGGTCAGGGCTCTTGGCATATCCTTTGGAGACTTGCTGTGCTTCATACTGATCCTGGTGTTTTGAGTATCCTTTCCTCGGCTGTTGTAAGGAAGACTGCTGGAGCTCAGTACTTTTAGCATATCCCCTGCTCAATTGCTGCTGTGCGTGTAGCTGCTGATCAGGACTCTTCGTATATCCTTTACCGAGTTGCTGTTGTGCAAACTGCTGCTGATCAGGACTCTTGGAAAACCCCTTACCAAGCTGTTGCTGTGGAAATTGCTGCTGATCAGGACTCTTGGAAAACCCCTTACCAAGCTGTTGCTGTGGAAATTGCTGCTGATCAGGACTCTTGGAAAACCCCTTACCAAGCTGTTGCTGTGGAAATTGCTGCTGATCAGGACTCTTGGAAAACCCCTTACCAAGCTGTTGATGTGGAAATTGCTGCTGATCAGGACTCTTGAAAAACCCCTTACCAAGCTGTTGTTGTGGAAATTGCTGCTGCTCGGGACTCTTGGGAAACCCCTTACCAAGCTGTTGCTGTGGAAATTGCTGCTGCTCAGGACTCTTTGAAAACCCTCTACCCAGCTGTTGGTGTGAAAATTGCTGCTGCTCAGGACTCTTCGCAAATACCTTGCCAAGTTGTTGCTGTCCAAACTGCTGCTGATCAGGACTCTTTGCGTATCCTTTTCCAACTTGTTGCGGTGCAAATGGCTGCTCATAGCCTCTAAAATATCCCTTGCCGACTTGCGGTGGACCTAGCTGGGGCTGCTTGATGCCACGCTCTCTCCTGCCAGGGCCACCTGGTCCTCCTCTGTCAGAGGCTGTAGCTCCTTCAGCTGAACGTTTTCCAGAAGCACCCGGGCCAAATACAATTGACTCTTCCGCGGTCCAGTTTCCTGTAGATGCTGGATTCAGCTTGGGAGACGTGGTTTGACTACCAAAAACAACTCTCTTCATGTTGTCGTCCATTGGTCAAAGGAGGTTGGATACTCCAGCTCTCGTAGATTCAAGACACTAGTCTACAATCCACCAGATCGAAATAGATGCAGAGAATACGCTGACAAATGCTTTGAAGTGCAAGTTTAGCTGTAGCAGGAACACCCGGAACTAACTGATCCTTCTCACTATCCTCTGAGCCAATCACTCCCATGTTTGTAGGCTCCAACCTCCTCTCGCTCGCGACCACCGCAGAGAACGAGGTCGCTGGAAACAAGAAAGTTCGCAAAGTTCAAATCCGCAATATTCAGTCAAAATCTCTTCAACGTCACATTGTAAGCCTCCGTTTCAGGCGATGACAGAACAATGATGCTATGAGTCTACACAGTAATCAGAGGACTCTCGAGACGAACTCCGAACCCCCGTGATTCTGCCACAGCGAGGAGCCTCACTTCTCCTCCTGGACACGCAGAAATGCACATAAACGCATCAATGAGAACGACGATCCTGTCGAATCCTCTCGCTGCCAGGTAATCCTCGCTCTCACACGCTATGCCTGTCCTCCCTAATCCGGAGTCGCTTGAAAAAATGTTGTGAGAATGAGAATGTTATGAAAGAGCACACGGAGGGACTAGTGCACCCATCGGTTGCCCACTGAGTTCACAAAAACTAAGCTGCATGTCAATGCAGGCCCCCAGTCATTGCCGAGTTCCAGGAACCTAATCTTTCCCCGTGCTGATGTGGGTTTCCACTCCAGCTGATATGATATGGAGGCACGAAGAAAATTGTCAGTCGAATCTTGTGACACTTCAAATTCTCCCCCACGAATCGCACTCTGCGCGGACCACTCCACTCGGGGCGTGATTGCTGCTGCGTCTTTGATTACCCTCCCTTTGGATTTAAGGGAACTCGATTAATGTGGCAAACGCCATCCAGTGAAGGATTCTGTAGTCCAATGCAGTATTGCGCGATGGAACACTTTGTCTTCGTGAAAAAACCCTCTACCTGTTTTAAATGCGTCGACTGATGACGACTCACTTGCCGTTTATGGTATTTCAGATTAATGTACACACATGACTCGAAATAGGGTGCAACATATATAATACCTCTCGAAGTCTTGGGGGAAAATCGAACTAGATTGCAAGATTTATATTCCCCCTCGAAGTCCGGGAGGAAATCGATGAAGCGCGAAATATAGACTTCAAATATTCAAAATTACAATAGATATTCCGAATTCTCACTTAGGCTATGTGCGGGCTTGGTTATATTAGTTTAATCTAGTAGCATCAAGAAAACTAATTTAGGTGATTTAGAAACTTTTGTGCTAAAAGTGTACTGTAGTGCATTTGAGAACAAGTGAGGGTTTGGAGGTAAAAGGGGGAGAGAGTAGTAATGCTTGCACTGGGAGAGAGAAAAATTGATTTATAAACTGCAGATTTTGACCTCCGTGAGTTATGAGACTGATGCATTAATAAATTGAATGGTTAACATCTCCCAATCTCATATGCTCCAATTCTCAGCCAATTAATTTAGGCGCTAGAGGGAGTGCAAATTTAGTTAATTTAGTCGCCTAATATAACCATGCATGGATATGTGTGATCTTCTCGAAGGGATTTTCCACACACTTATTAAAGTAGTTCTTCCATATTAACACTATTGTGAAAAGAAACATAAAGAGATAAGAAAGATATCAAGATAATAAAAAAGATGGTGTATGAGTGTCATACAATAACATATTTATATGGGAGTATTGTGAACTTTTACGCTATCTAAGTTAACCTAAAGTAAACTTTATAGATGGAATGGAGACTGAACTTCATTTGCAATGACGATATGCTTTGAAATTTATGCTAAGTATGTTACTTTCATATTTTTTTTGGAAAAATTGTGAATGTGAATTCACACTTTCACATTTACATGTGAAAGTGATTTTTGGTGCCTATCCGCGCCCATTGCCTACAAAGGTGCATGTAAGCCCCGCTAGCCACGTCAGATGGTTGTAATGTTACACAACTTTGTGTTACATGAGATATTTTTGACGTTACCGTCGGCGCTCGAGTGGTTTGTCGATGATGAAGTGCCACACGATGATCCGATAGCGGAGGAGGCAAGGAACACGAATGATTTTTTGAACGATGGCGCGGATGATGCAAAGGAGCTGCACGACGTGCATCTGGTCTTGGAGAATATCAATGCCGATCTCTAGAGATACTTTACAAAGTTGAAGCCAATCTTCTCTTTCGTTATTCGTTGTGCAAGGCCTCTTGTATGGTAAAAAAATCTCTAGTGAAGACTTGAACTAACCTATCACGACATAGGGACACTAGCTAGCTTTCACATGCCTTCACAAAGACCACTTGTGAAAGTATGTGAGTTCACATACTTTTACAACTCACACTTTCACGCGTGAAAGTGAAATTAACATACTTACTTTGTGCAATGTACCAGTAGTATGGTTTGCTCTAGACTATGTGCAATGTAGAAATCCTATGGAATACAATGGAGAAACTCAAAAACATATATCAACAATGTTCATGTTAAGAGCTAGTACCACTCAACTCTACAAACTTCTCATCTTGTTTCAACACTCCTCCCCGAACAATGAGCTTCCTCGTTAAAATACTTCAATGAGATTGAAGAAAAAGAGTGAAGTCATCGTTTGTTTCATAATTCAACTTTGATTTAGAAGTTTTGTTAATGTCTGCATCTCTGCTACGACTATGAGCTTTTGATGATGCGGAGCTGGTAACGTCTTTGCAAGAATATCCGTGATGTTCTCCGCTAAAGCTATCTTTTGTACTGCAATTTTGTTTGTCTTCGTGAGATCCTGTGTGTAGCTGAACAAGTGAGGGTTGATATGCTTGACGCGGTCTGACTTGATGAAATCAGAAGATACTTGTTTAAAACAAGCTGCGTTATCTTCAAAAAATGTTGTTGGCTTCTACTAGAATGGAAATCGAGTCATCTTGGATATGGCGGTCTGCATGATGTAAAGCCACACTCGCGAGCTGCCTCGTGAAACGCAAGAAATTCAGCATGATTCGTTGAAGTTGCCGTGACCGTTTGTTTCGTGTATATTCAACAAATGGGTGCTCTATTTTTTATGAATATGTAATCTGTTTGGATTTTGTCAATCACTGAATCTGTCTTGAAGCCAGAATCGGCATAGCCTATAATATTGTTTTGCTACTCGAATGTACCTGAGGAGGTGATTGACGCCTTGGCAATGCTGTGCTGTGGGGCATTGCCTATGTTGGGCGAGGATGCTAACGGCAATACTCATGTCCGGTCGAGTATTTGTCGCTAGGTAGAGGAGTGCGTCAACTCCTCCTAGATATTTCGGTTTGTCCAACTTCTCCTCCCCTAGCTTAGAAGTACGATAATCGTCAGTCTTGCTTTTCCTCATCATAGATGCCAAAAATGCATTCGTGTTTTCCATGTTGAACATCTTGAGAAGCTTGCGAGCATAAATTTGATGATGAAGTATCATACTTCCATCTTCAAGGTGTTTAATCTAAAGTCCAAAGCAATATGATGTTTTGTCTTATGTAGGATTGATCAGGCTGCACCAATCATCTTGAAGACGTTGCAATGTTGCGTGCATCTCCTCCAGTAGTTTCTAGGTCAAAGATCGTTTGATCAATTTTTCCTAAATGCATGTTGGGCATTTTTTAACATGCTTTGCTTAGCTAGTGCACATCTCGTAACCGATAAGAAGTGGTAGCATTCTCCTCATCATAGTGATTGACTAAGTCGGCTATGCCACAAATCCGCTATGGCATTTTCCGTCATGAGAGCTATGGGAGCACCCTTACAGAATAGGCTGGGTGGCGTAACACGAGCAATGGTCTCTTCCTTACCCGGTTGGGTAGAACTAGCTTCCAAAATGGGCCGAGCATAGGCAAGTTGCCTCTTCCTTGTACCCGTATGAGTGAGATTAACTTCAGACATTCTAAGCTTGTATAGGCCAGTTACTCTAGCAAAGATCGCCGTCCCACACTTGAGTTGCACTACCTCTTCACCGCACTTACTTCTCCGTTGTGAAGGTGTGAATATGATTGGTCTATAATACATGTAGTTGATCAGAATCAGGAGGATGCCAAGGACGTATATTGCCCGTTCGCAAGTCAAAAATGGTCTTGCCCGGTCGGGCAAGACCATTTTTGTTCGGCTCTCATGGAATATCAAATTTGACATTCCCGCGATAGTGAGTATGTCACAAGATTGCCATAGTTTATTTTGAGTTTGAAACTCAAAGTAAGTCTAGCCTTTGAATACCAAAATGGTGGACACATTGTCAAGGAGCTCAATATTGTTCTTGTTGATGCGATAACATATAGTTTTCACGATCTAACTCCGTTAATGTGAGAGACTGTGCATCTATAGCATGAGATTTCTGTCCCACTCTTTTCAAGGACTAAAATTCTTGGTATATGTCACATATGTACTTGACAGTGTGACAATTTTGTGCCTTATGACACTGTGTACCGCACTTACAACGAATACCTTTCATCTCCGGAGACCGCAATGATTGAGACTGGAATCGTGACCGAGATTGAGAGGGTATGTTGTCATACTGTTGATGCTTGTTGCATGTGTTATGTCTTCAATTCTCTCTTGGTCCATCTGAACCATGAGATACGTGGTTTGTACCTCCGGAGTTTGAAGTTGAACTGGTTTTTGTGTGCTTCGATGCCTTCGTATTGTGGATTTTTTTTGCAAGTTAAATCTCGACCGTCTTCAGTAAAAGTTGTTGCTTTTTAGCGATCGCCAAGTAACGCATTATAACAGCATGTTTTATAGATTTCATGTTTTGATATTGTTTTAATAAGATGGCACATGCTGGAGGAAAAGTTGAAAATGTCTTATCTATCATATCGGCCTCAATGATGCTCTGGCCACATATGTGAAGCAAGACAACGATACGGTGCTGTTCTGAATCATAATTATGAAAATTTGGGAAGTCGCGGAAGGGGTTCAATCAATAACTTTGAGCTTGTGGTATGATTATTGTTTCTTCATGTTGGAAGCGTGATTTGAGCGCCGTCGATAGTATTGTCGGAGACTCCTCATGTATGTACTACATCCGTAACGATGGATCGAGATGCCGGCGAAGTATCAACAGCGTCTACCACTTGTGCGCCGATTGAATCTCCTTCTCCAAGTTTGGTTTCAATGTGTAGATAAGTTCTTTGGCGGAGAGTTGAGTCTATATGTTGAAATGTCAATCTAAATATTTTTTCCCATAGTGTGCTAAAGGGTCAAAATAGAGCGAGGTGATACTACTGTATTTGGATTTTGCTTATGACATCATAGCTAATCTATCTATCTTCTCCGTGCACAAGAAGACTTTTTTTGTACACAAGCACCAGAGAGTCACAAAAGGTATGAGCGAAAGTGCTGATAACGTGTTGTGAAAAGAAGACATATAGAGAGAACAAAGATATCAACATAATGAAAAAAATGATGTAGTAATGTCTTACAACCTGTAACCATCTTTAGTTAGTTAGTACTAAAGTAGAGGTTACTCTAAATATTGATGTAAATACTTTGTGTGCACTAGTTATAGTTGCCACGTCAACGATCCGCGCACTTAGGGTGTACAGAGTGGATGTGTTAGTTGACAGTGCCACGTCAGCAATCCGTGTGCTTGTAGGTAAGGATTGAGTGTGTTAGGGTACAGAGTGTGTGCAGAGTGGATGTGTTAGTTGGGTGCGCCACGTCAGCGATCCGTGTGCTTGTTAGGGTTATCCGCCACGTCATCCATCCACTAGGAGTGGATGGATGGTGGGGATTAGATCTTATCTCCTTGTACTTGTTGGTGATAGCTATATAAGGGAGAGTAGAACCATTGTTGGTATCTCTCATCTTCAGAGTTTACGTTTCT